TATGGCTTCAATCGCCTCCAGTGTTRAGATCAGATGAGTTCCATGTCCTCTCTCCTTATCCTCCTTTCAGCAATTGAATCCCTTCTACCTTATCTTTGTTCAAAACACTTCAAAACCTTCCTAAACTCTCTGCTTTATATCCAGTCTTGCAAAGATTGGCTGTAYCTAACAGATGGGGAGATACATCCTCTATAGAGGCTGTTTGATAGGTGACACAGYACTGGAGTCACATCTTTGCCTTCAAGTCATCCCATATTCCTACACTGAAACTCACAGCATGGCACTTCACTGAGAGAGAATCAATGAAAAAAAAACCCATCCAAATGTATCCTGCCATTAATCCTCACACCAATCATCAACTTCTTAGGGACAGAATCTCTCCGTCTGCCTTTGAAACTAAAAAAATAAATCCAGGAATAAAGTAGTGTRTCTGACATAATACAAGAATAATAACATTAAACTACATTTGACTCCATGTAAACCATCTAATTCCTCTGAAAACATACAACCAGGGAAGATAAAGCTGATTGCTATTTACACCTTTACAAATCTTAGCAAACTTTCCCTGAATTTTCAAACCAAATGTTCCTTTCAAAAACAAAGCGGGGGTTGGGGAAGGAAGGGGGAATGATACATACATGGTATTATTTAACAGTAAACTGTAAGAGCAACTTTTTAAGCATACAGTGCTCTTGCCAGCTCTCTGACAAAGAGCCTAATACTAAAATCCCAACTTACTTTTCAAGTAATGACTATTTACCACAATATTTCTTCTCCTGTTTATTCATTTGGTCTTGAATAGACAGAGATACAATCCAAGGAAGAAACAGGACCAAGAAAGAAGGTGAAAAACATAMAATAAAACAGTTRTTTCATTCCAAACRTTTTCTACAGGAAAKATATCATTGCTAGGAGAAAAAAAAWTTAATCAGTACAAACACTGGCTGAATGGGGAGACACTCATCAGAGGAACACTGGAGTATTGTGGACATGCAGAGGCAACAGACTCGGTTGAGATGAATAACAGGATTATGACATGGATACGCAGGAGGCAAAATGAGTTTGTTGCATAGGCTGGACTATTTTTTTCAATTACCAGTGATGATATAATGTTTGCCATATATTTTTCTGATTACACAATATATTATGTGTGATTGAAAAAATATACCCTYTCTTGTGCCTCAGATGAATGAGGTGAACAGCTCTTAATGCATAATGGAAGAAACAGAGTAAGAAAAATACACTAAAGCAACATAGAAATTTCCCATGGATGTGTATCAATAGACCAGTCAAATAAACTCTCTCACAGCGTTAAAAAACTTTCAGCAATTTTAGCAAGAAATTCCAGTTTCCCTACTTTGTGTTACTGGTGGCRGATGCACACTTTGTACATCAGAATTCCAGGATGCTCTTCCTTGAGGTGTCACTCACCYAAGGAAACCTTTCAGCATGTATCACAGCTATACTGCAAACCCATTTTTCAATGAACTTTCATGAGAGTATCTTTTTTTTCCCCCTTTTGTTTACCACTGACATAAGCAGTAAATTTCTGCAATGCAAATGGGGATTGTCATTTTATTTCACCTTTCCTTTTCCAATTTCAGGATTTTCTTGCTCTTTGAATCCCAGCACTGCTGGAATATTTTTTGCTGTTTCACATTTAGCCCCCCACATAAAACTGTAGTGTCAACATATGAGGATCACTCCAGTCCCTCTGCCATAAACAGGATCTCAACAAGAGGACAAGCCTTATAGGACAACAAAACCAAGCTACAGGACTAGAAGCACAAAATTTTCAAACAAGTAAYAACTTTGTTTTTCTGACCAAATTTGAAAAGATTAATAAATTTACCTTGTCAGCTGGGAGCCAGCTCCAAGATTGCCCAGTATMCCATTATTTAGAGGTAATGCCATCCCTCCAAATTGCTTCCCCTAAGCAGTAGTGCCCTCAAGTCAATTTTTTTAAGCAGTCAGGAAGTACTCTTGAAAATGTGAATCACAAACTTTTGAATTCAAAATATCTTATGAACTCTTGACTATTTCAGCGTAACTAGTCTAAGCATTTGCCAATTAAAATACCAGCATTAAGCATATTTTGCTGTACTTCTAAATGCTGACTAGCTTAGTACTTAACAAACTATGTGGATTTGTTGGATCAGATTATTTGGTGAAAGTGCAGAGGTAACTTCACTTTCAGACATTRCCTAATTTATCCTTACCTGTTTAGGGATTTCCCTCCTTTTCCAGGTATCTTGGAAACGGGTATTTTCTTTATTGCTTTACAGTTCTCTGTAGTTCACAGTCACCCCGTGAAGAAGAGGTCACCAGAAGCGGCTAAGGAATTTTAATCACAAGAAATTTCTAAGGCTTTTCCAGCGACTATCGGGTCTTCACTGGTACSGTGCTCGCCCTGCACTCCTTCGTTAACCATTAACCAGTGGCCCTATGTCAGCTTTATCAGCCRCTCTTTCTCAACACGGGGAAACCAGAAACCCTGCGGGCTCATTCAGCCGCAATTCGCAGCCATCGGGATGGGAGGGACGTGRGATTTCTCACTCATTCGCAGAGCCTTAAGCGAAAAATCTAACGAGATGTGGGACGGAGCGATCCAGCAGCCTCGGCAGATCCTGCCTGTGCCGCCGAGGAGGATGCCCACGCCACGGAGATGCGTGACGGGTCACACGAGGAAGAGAGTGGGATAATTTGGAAAAGCCAGAGCTCCCGGGACAGCGGCTGCCCGGCGGCTCTCGCCTGCCGGTGGTTCAGGGCCACTGCAAGGAGGGGGAAACCCTCACCTTCAGTAACCGGGACGAGCTGCTCTTGGCGGGGCCGGGGCGAGCGCCAGCGCTGCCATTGGCAGCAATCGCCCCGCCGGGGCCACCCTTCCCGCGCTTAGAGCTGTGTTCCAGCAGTTCCACGGGAGACAACGCCCAGGGTACCACCATAAAACAAAGGAACCCCAATCACTGGAGTGAAAACCCCGCACCCGCATATAGGGCAGGGCCCGGGAGCTCGCCGTGCCCGCGGCCTTTGGCCTGGCCAACGCGGCCTGCTCCTGTGGGGAGCCGGGCACAGCCTGGCCTTTGGGCAGCTCGCCCGCGCTGATGGGATTTACTGCAGCATTTAGACTGGTCAGAAATGGAGACTGGAGATCGGCAAAATGGGGTTCCATCGTCAGCAACTTGTTCGAGGCGGTCCCCAGTCCCTCCGGGCCCCACACAGGGCAGAAGCTGCCCGGGACCGGCCTGGGTGAGCCCCTCACCGGGGCAGGACAGAGCCCGGAGCCCTCTGACCACCAGCCACCCCACGCCTGGGAGCGCATTCGGCTGCAGGATCCTCCAGGACTGCATAGAACCAGGCTGGGCAGCAGCATATGATCTCATGAATGCATATAAATGCATCATTTTTCATACACCAAAGGTGGGTTTCAAGAGAATGGTGCTAGACTTTTCAGTGGTGCCCAGAAACAGGATGAGGAGCAATGGCCATAAATTAAAACACAAGAAGTTCCACCTCAACATGAGGAAGAACTTCTTTGAGGGTGGCAGAGAACTGGAAAAGGCTGCCCAGGGAGTTTGTGGGGTTTCCCTGTCTGAAGCCATACAAAACCCATCTAGACGCTAATGCCTATATAACATGGGTCAAAGTTACTTTGACAAAGATGCTTTTATTGCTTGATTTATAAAACACCTATGTAACCTGAATTATAACTTTCTATAGAATGTAATCRCCAAATGTAGTTAACTAGTTGCTTAATGCTTAAGTAAGCTAAAACTTGCCAGGTGGATAACCTCGAAAATAGCTAAGTATAGCTAATTGGGAAACAGCAAGATATATTAATGAGAAATTGGCAAATGTAAAGCCAATTAATTAGCCACAAGATGAAGAATTTAGACAAGTTAGATACAGAAAGCCCAAGGAACACCATAACTGCATGTGCTCCGAAGGAAAAGTTGARAAGTTCAGATGTGAGGAAGACCTTGAGCCTTCATCGAAGAAGAAYCCCAAGACCACCTAAATGGGAGAAGCACAAGCGCAGTGCAGAAAAACTATTTGTAACCATGAGGTAACCTCATGTAAATTARTTCCGGACACGTRTATGATGATGTTATGTTGACATAGCAATATTAAACAATACTTATTGTATAAATAAGCCACAACACTTGAYAAGGGTGGGTGARTTAGGTGGAAAGATSSCCCTCACCTCCAGCGCTGCAATAAACAAATACCTGCTCTATAGATGGCAGTCTATGGGGTTTTATTTACAGCCTGTCTTTTCAGGCATCAACACTTTCCTGTGTAACCTGATCTAGGTGACTGTGCCATGACAAGGTGGGTGGACTGGATGATCTCCAGTGATCCTTTCCAACCCTAAAAGTTCTKTGATTTGCTCTTCCCATTCTCTCCCTGCCTGAGCTGCACTGGGTGGCTGGGGAGAGCCTTGACAGCTCCCCATGTGTCCCCCATACCTGGCCTGTCTGCCCCAGCACAGTGCTGTCCCTAGGGCTGCACCATAGCTTTYAGCAAGAAAAATCTCTTGCTTTAAGGAGGTGCATGCCCCTGTCTGCTCCTCAGATATCAATGGCTTGAGGAAAAGCTGTGTTTTATGCAGGAGAACCCTTCACATCTCTCTGCACTGCTGAACAAAAATGCACAGAGACACCCATTTATATACAACTTTTAGGATACCCGTTTCTGACCTGAGTGGGAGTAGCACCTATTCTCAGTTTACAGCTCATTATAGAGGACACATCATAAACTCATCTCAGCTGCTGTCATTTATGACCCAGTTTKGGGGCTGAATGAAGCCAGAAATTACTTTTGAACAACTTGAGAGCCCTGGCGGACTTGGCTGTGTTGCAGCAGTCCCCACACCCACAGCAAACCATCCCAGTGGCAGGCTGGAGCGGGGAAAGGCACACAAGAACAGGATAGCTGCTGCAGACCCTGGAGGCATCACCTCCCACGGTGGGCTTTTAGGAAGCATATTCAATACTTACGTGGCTGTTTCTCTAAGGGCAGCCTTAATTCAGTCAAAGGGATCCTCCGGTTGACTGTAGAGCAGGTCTTCTTGGTCCTTCCTCCACTTTTAAGTGCTTTCTGCAGTTGTTTCTGTATGAGCCAGCCCTCATGTGGGCACATTACTGGATCGGAGAAAAAGTATCTCCAGCCCTTGTCTAAGACTTAGTAGTGGACATGGAGRGAAGATGTACTTATACATGTGCTGTCAAGTAATGATTCTTCTCCTGAACACTGCTCCTGGCACTTGGTGTCATGTGACCAATGGACTTTCAGAGAAAATGATTGTATTTTTGTAGTTAYCATCCATCAGCTGAGTTTTCTCTATCAAGATGTGATAAAAGCCCTTTGTGAACACATGTGAACTTTTGCCATATGCTACATTTTGTGGTGGACAATACAAGAGATTATATGAGCAGTTTATGAAGAAATATTTCTGATTTCCCTGAACTGGTCCCCTGCACAATGCAGGTGACTTATGTATCAAAAAATCTCATCATTATGTTTTGTATTCCGCTCAGCTGTCTGTGCTTATCTGTAAATCTATTATGTTACCTCACTGAACTGTTCTATTATGTATTATTCCTCTGGCCCTGATGTTTGCTCTTCCATTTCTACTGCATCCTAAGTCTCCCTTTCTGCTGTCATAGGAGTTCCTGCTCTCTTATGCTTTTAAGGATGCAATTCCTTCCCAGGTACGTGCTCTTCTCTGAAGCACTCTGTTACCTAGAGCAGGTCAAAGACTTGTTCCAGCAATTGACTGTAAGTATTTTTAGGCAAACTTTGTGAGTCTTCAATGACTTTCACCCTTGTTTAGCCAGCTGTTTTCACAAACCTTAMTGTCTAGTGAAAAAAAGCAAAATCAGTCTTCTATCAACCAAATCTATCATTATCAATTTACATTCTTCCATGACTAGATGTGTTATGGAGTTACTATACAGGAAGCTCTAATCCTCACAGCTTGCCTTCTCATTTCTGTATTTGTTTGTGATTCTGAGAGTGCTACAGCAACCTGAAAACTAGGAGCTGGTAAGATATCATGCAGCAAATTCAGCAGCAGAGACAAGTATTACGGTGGAAACCGAATTTGAAAAGTCTAAATAATTAAATTTGGATTACAAATAGGATGTATCTAGGATTCTTGTGGAGCAATGATATTGTACACTTCCAGGACTGGGCTTAGCCATTTACTTTAACCATCATTGTCAGAACCATACTACCATACTTACATCTTCTTTTTCATCTAAAGGCAGTTGTGCAGGCTGTTTTGGAGAATGGGAAGGTTKTAGAGAACACCAATTCCACTCTCGTTTCTCTCCATTTTAACACAAAATGCCAGTCCTCACACCTCTGGATAAAGTGTTTCAAAAGGCAAATAAAATGGAAGTCTTTATATAGAAGTGTCTTCACAAGTTCGTGGGATGAGGAGGGAAAACTGACTCTTWGGGAGTGGTGAGCAGCAGTAAGGGCATCACAGCACTGTCTTCACTGTGTTCCTAGTCACACCCAAGACATCCCTTGGACAATACTGCCCAAGTGTAATTCTTTTCTCCCTTCCAGTTCCCTCCCAGCCTAACTCTTCTGAGCCCTAAGGAGTTGCACAGCTGAGCTGAGTGTCAKGGCCCATAAACCCAGGCTGTACTTTGGCTCAGGGCTGGCAGCTGTTTGTAATTTCACTTTCCTGTTCCCCAATTGTGGTRCCAGAACCTTGCAGCCACTGGATGGAAAACACCTGATGATAACAAAGGATACAAACCTGGGCAACCAGTAAGTGCTGTAAGACCCTGTTAATCACAGCTTAGTGTGACAGAGTTAATCTCAGTATGAGTGAACTGATGTTTCTTGCTCAAACATCTGCTGGTACATGTGCAAAATGACAAGCAGTTGGAGCAGAATTGTCTTTGGGCAAAGGGCTTGCAATGTGCATTTTACACAAACAAATTCAAGTGTCACATGTGACTAATTGCAATATCTAATGAAAATCATATASCTCTTGGACATAGTTGTGGTTATGTTGGGTTTTCAAATACTAATTAAATTGTGCTTCAAGTTAAGGAAGACATAAGATTTAGGATGCAGAAGCAACCCAAATTAAAGCAACATGGGTATTTCAAAGGAAGATATCTCTTTTTCTCCATCTGCTGGCATTGTTACTGAAGTTTCCAAGATATCAGACAATGTCYGAGACACAAAGCAATCTAGACTGGACATTGACAAACCAGATTAAAGCATTACTAAATTAGCCATAACAARGACCAAAAGTCATCTAAAGTTCAACTTGAAGGGAAATGGCTGATCTGGTGATGTTTTTCTCATCTGGTTTTGCAGGTACAGGCTRAAGCAACACTTTAAAGTAATCCTAATTTAAGGATTCTTTRTATCAGATGAAAGTGCTGCAACCAYATACTATAAAACATGAGTCTGACAGGAATTTACTTATAGGTCTGAATGCAYTGAAGCTGTTTTGCTGGGTGAACTTTGTGCTAGAATGCTTTATGTGGGATCATATGTCTGATCATGTGTGTTGTTTCGCAACTAATGTAAAAGAAGCACAAACCTATCAGGCAAGCAATCAAATCTGTACCGCACACTCACTTCAGGCCCAGACTGATACTGCACTGCAGTGTTCTGACAGCACARGTACCCCCTGCTAATGCCAAGACCAGGTATCATTTTGCATCTGCCACAGAGGTGGGCAGTTTGGACAAACAAGCAAACAACACTACCCTGCCACTGGGCAGGCTTACTGAGATCTTCTTACCAYGTTGCTTTTTTTTTAATGCCATCTTCTTGTCTGTTCCAAATACCATATATACAATACAGTAAGGTGAGGTTTTGGTGTTGATTTTTTTGGTTTTTGTTTTACAGCTTTGTGTAGAATTGTAGTCCTTGACTTTTAATGATCATAGAGGGATCAGTTTCAATGTTAGCATGGTCTCCTTCAGCCAAGCAAGAAACAGGCATCTYCAAACATTTTGCAAGCAAGCAGTCCCCCTTTGTTAATGAAAAAAGTAAGTTACTGCATGCAGGATAGTGAATTCTAAGGACTRTAAGTTTTAATATGCATGTCCAGATAGAAAAAAAACTTGAGGAACATCAAAATCCAAAGGAAGTACTCTACCAGTATGTGYTGATGAATGAATTTCATCATGCTAACATATTAATTAAATCATGGTGCAGTGGAATACAAACTCACATGGAGACGTAGCATGGAGAAGCCAGAGTGTAAGGGAGTTTTGAAATGGAATGCATTTGATGGCTTCTATGGGTTAACAAAGCAGGAACAGGAAAGGATTGTGTCCAAAAAAAATAAAAGTGAAACATTCCCAACCTTTTATTTTTTTATCTGCCAGAAAAACCACCAATCCGTCCACCTCACCCCTCCACCCCCCTGGATTTTTAAAGTAAAAACAAATTTTGTGCAGATGGTGCTCTTCCATCCAAATGCTGATATACCAGTTGAACACAAGGATTAGAGGGGTAAATAATTGCTTTCAGAAGGTACTATTGAAAAGCTTTCTGATCCAACAGCTATCAGACCAATAAAATGTTTTATGCAGAGTGTGCATTTTCAATGAGTTATAACTATGACCCAAAAGATGGTCATGGTATGTTGTCCTGATATGACTCTAGCAGCCTTCCCAAATGAATCCTGTAAATATCACAGCAGAATATCCCCAGTAATTTTCCTCAAACAAAGGGGTAAACAACTTCTTTGCTAAATAAAATGCAGTATATCCCAATAGGAATCWTAAGACAGAACAGCCAGAGTAAAGGTCTCTTGGGGATAGAGTTTTCATGTTTCTTAAAAGCTGTTTAACATGACCCGCCCAATTAACCTAAATTAAGGCAAGAGATACAGAGTGTACTGATATATCCAAAAGACGACATTCATTCCAATGTAAAATGAATAGCATTGTATTAACGTTTATTTCTAATTACAAGAAACAGAATATCAGTCCCTTATTTGTACAAAAATACCTGAAAGATTACAATTAGGTTCACAAGCCAAAAAGCTATTTACAGTATGAAGCAAAGCATATTGAATAAAGGWTTTGTCTCTTAAGTTAATACCTTTTGCATTCCCTGAAACTTTAAACTTTATTCCATTTTACAGTCACTAAATCTTGCATTGTGACAATATAATTTACGATAAGCAAGTCTTGCCACTGGAAAGGTGCATTGATTGGTCAAACTGTCAGGTATTTAGTGCAGAAAAGATAAGACAAAACATCTAAACTGAGGCACGTGTTTCTTCAAGATTAATTAACAAATAAAAAGTTTTTTGTACTTTAACACCTATCGTAACATAACTTAACTAGTAACCTCATTACCAAAATGGTTTGGCATTTTCCTTCTCAACATATTCAAGATTGCTACATGAAGTATTTATTTAGAAAATAAAATCACAGGCAAAAAGATAAAAATTCAACAGGCTCCAAAACAACCCTGAGCATCCCCTTTACATTCATGTCATTTAAATACAAAAATAAGAGTCAAATGTCCTTCAGTCCTTGGTATTCTGAGCTGGCAGCCAGCTGAATCTGTTGGAAAACTAAGGTGGTATTGACTGTTTTCCAGCAGAAAGAAGACAAAGCAGTGATCTGCTTAAGTAAGATTGTTGCCACTTTGAAGGTGGTCACTTTCTCAAAACAGCTCACTTTAGCTGGGAAGAGTACAAAATACTAAGTCAACCATCTACATACAAAAATCATGGTTCATAGTCAAACTTTTATTCTCAATTTAAATAAGATGCAAGGTTTTTTTTTTTTTTATAAATATGAAACACTGCAAATACTATCCGCCTACTGGGAAAAATGCATGGTTGTCACTAAGCTATGTAAACAGAAAAACTTAAAACTATAGCATAAATGGTCTTATTAAACTGGTAATGTAGTCAATACAAGTATCTTTTTTCTCCTAAAAGGGGCCAAATAGAAGCATGCAAAGTGAAGTCAGACTTAAGTTAGCTTAATTTCAAGGTTTTAAAATACATTGTCTAGAAAGCAGGAACACTCATTTCACTATGTACAATTAAAAAAGCAAAACAAAACAAAACAAAAAAGGCTTGTACTAAAAACAAAATCAAGTTTCTTCATTTTTAGTATCTAGACATTAAATGGAAAAAAATACTAAATGTGTTCTGTAAACTAAAATACAGTGTTTCTATACCATTGACATAGTTTAAGCTGATATGGACGACTCAGGCAGGTTATGGTTTGTCTTAAGCTATTCTTAACACTACATGAAAACCTAAAAGTGTAGGATTGGTTTTCCTTCTTTACCCTTTCAGATGGCTAGGATTTCAGACCCAGTGGCAAATATTAAGGATTAACTAGCCTGTGTAAATCATTTACCATTTTACGAATGCTCTGTTCTGCACTACACTCTGCAAGTTCCCAGGGTGGAATACTTCTCACTGTTGCTAATGGCACCAAGCACTGGGAAGTTAYTCAGTTCAAACAGTTGGTGAAGGAATGGTTGGTTGCAATTGCAGGATCAAGGTGGGACTTGTCTGACTTTAATACTGATTTATCATCAGAAAGAGTTATTGTGTAAACATTAAATAATTCATTTAAACATTAACAATAAAGTAGTTCTGATGACAAACCAGCACCAGAGCAAGATACATGCTTGTCTGCCACAGGTACTGGCGTGCGGTAGCACACATGACACAGGGATACCAGTTACCTCGATGGACGATATTGCCAGCAGCTACTCCACAATCAAATCTGTTTCTATTCCCAGCATGTTCCTTCTCACCATGTAAACTTTCATGGCCCTACAAAAAGCAGAAGGGGTACAGTTCTTCTTATGCCCTATCCCCAGGAGAGCTTTGTGTTCACTGTAGCTTTACTRTATCGAAAGAGCTCTTTGAAACAGTCTGAAAATTCAAGGAGCTATAAAGCTAAAAACACTGTTTTTTTAATCATTTTTTATTTTGTCATACTAAGACTACCTGCAGAAGAATCTTCTCACAAAAATGGTGGTTTGAAATACAAGTGTAGTCATTCAGTCCTACTCTATTTAGTAACAGTAAGTTTTCTCAGGAAAACAGTCAAAAGGCTGTAAAAAACAAACCACCACTCCAATAATAAAAATTTGTGCATAGAATCTAATACAGTCTCTGCATGACTGGATGCCACTAATATGCCATCAACATACTACAGCCATAATGCTACAAGTCAGCAGTTTTAAGAGTACGTATATTGGTGGTATGTTCTTTTAGAATTGTATCCTCATTGCTTCTTCAAAGACATCTGCAGATCATTGAACCTCAGGTCTCCAGAGAAGTACTAAGACGCGCACTCACACACACACACACACACACACACACACACACACACACACACACACACATACACGCTTCTTGATTTTCTTCTAGATCCTTTTAGGCTGAAGCATTCCATACATTTTAGGGTGCAGATTAATACCCAACTCCTGCATGAATTTTAAAAGCCACATCAGCTCCTAATATAGGCTGCATACAATATCCGAAACAAAGTAGGAGTGCAAAAAAAGTGATCAATACAAAAAGTAAACACACTAGTCTTAATTGTCAAGATTATTCCAGGGCAAGAGTTCTTTTCAAAGATTTCTCTTCACACTTGTTCCTGTTAAGTGGCCCAGCCAAGATAGTTTCCAGTTTTGTTTCAAATTTACTCATTGTTTTACAGACCCTCCCCCCATTTTTGGGATGCTGGGACACTCAGCAGCAATCACTCTTAGGTGTTAGACAAACCAGCAATCTTGGTCTGTTGGCACCTGTCGAATCCATCCCTTTCAGAGTCCCAAGGTGCATAATATTTTTTTTTAACCAACTTACAAATCTGCCAATTCCCCAGTGTCAACGTTCTCTTACAATTACTCTTCTATCAAATCCAGTCTTCAGTGAGTCAGATTTGAGGTCATAAGGCCACTCGGATGCAGTGGTGTTTGAGTTTGCAGGGCAAGACTCCTTTGTTTAGTTGATAGAATTCAACAAGCTGGATTAGATCACTGAATTTGGTGTTCCCATCATCCAGACTGAAAAATATCTGTCCATCATCTTCACACTAGGAAAACAAAACATCCTTTTCAAGTTAGGCTGCGCATGTAGAGATACAAGTGTGGCAAAACCTAAGAGAGTACCAYGAGTGTGTGATATAAATAAATGATGGGCACTTGGTTGGCACTTGGYTCCCAAAACAACCCAGTTCTTTGTGAAACCATGCACAGCACTAGAAAAAACATACATCAGCCCAACTTGTAACATTTTGTTTTTGAGAGTGAAAGCTCGTGGGCTGAGTAATTGCATGTTGTACAGACAGCACTGGCATTCATTAGATAAAATAAAAATAYCCCAAAAGTATTTGTTAGCTGTTTGTAAAACTGGCTGGCCGAACAAGGGAATAGGGTTTGGAAAAATAAAAAGGTCTACATAATCTTAAATTGTTGGTGCTTTTTTTGATCAAGATTAAAATCAAATTGTGTAACATTTGAAGCTCAACATTATTAGATAACCCCCAGAATGAAACTTTTCAAAGTTTCTCTAAGTTACTCTGTTTGCCTAAATGACAGGGAGACAACAGCTGCTGTTGTTGCTGCCAGTCACAGAGAACAAGTTCTGTGCATTACACAGACTTGTGTAATGTAGTGACTTACACTAGTTTTCCAGCACTGTTAATCAATACTTTTAATCAGACATTTGGCAATTCTAAGGAATATTGCTAATATACTTGCCAACTGAAACATTCTTGTTAGTTACATCAGTAATTAATACAAGGTCTCCTCAGATGTTGGCAAAAGCTTAATGGTTTAAAATTTCAGGTTTTGTTATCAGTATCAAAAAAAAAAACCTACTTACCGGCAAGATCTGAAAATGCTTTATTTTTTGATGATGGCATAACGTAAGTACAAATGCCTTTGGATTGCTTTGGCTGTCCCGGAGAAGAAATAATCTAGGAGAGAACGTTTTTAATAACAAATTGAATACTATGTCTATTTCTTCTTAAATAATCAGACCTACTAAGTAATTTTGTGCCACTGCTGAACTCTTTAGTTGCATTAAGAGGCAATTCCACAACTGGCAATTTGCAAATTTTCAATTATTATACCATAGCTATGCAACATTAACAGATGACGAAACAGGAAGTTCAAGATACATGATGGTAGTTCTTCCTCTAAGAATGTAACTATGAGGCATTTTTTAAGGTTCCCTCTAACTCAGCTTTCCATTAATGATGTGTACTCTCATGAAGAAAATGAAATCTCAATTTCTGCAATGGGAAAATAATATATGGAAATCTGTTTCTACTCTACAATAGCTTTCATCAGTTCACAGAAATCCAGTGTCACCAAAATTATGTTTAGGTTGAACGGCTGCAGTTACACAGAAACAGYTCAGTACTTTGTTAAAATTATTTACCAGTTAAGTAGCTTCCACATTATCAAGATGGGGAAAACACATACTGATTTTTGCTATAGAATAGTCACAGTATTTTTCCCTCAGCATTACTGGAAAAAAATGTACATCATACACTAKGCAGCTGTCACTTTTAAGTTTAAGCACAAAACTGAGTTTCTATCCCAAATGGACTTTATTTAACATCCCTACTGGGAAGAGGAGAAAAAAAGCTAGTTAAAAYCCCCCATGTTTCCTCCCCTTGACATTTATGAACTAAGGAAGCAGATCCTCTCCATGCCAGAGGAAACAACAATATATCTTTGGCACAAGGCTTACAGCACTAATCACTAGTGGATTTGTGAGATGGCTAAGCACAGGACTGGGGCAGACCTCTTGACTGCTGACTACTAAGCCAGGAATACACTCTTCCAAGACACAATTGCAAGAACTGCTTGTAGTCTTAAAAACCCAAAAGAATTTACTCCAGCTCCTCAGAACWGATTGAGAAATGTCAGTACCACAAAAATGCACTATGATTGCCAKGGTCAGTTCAGTAGTCAGGGACAGGCACATCTTGCCACCCTCAGAAACCATGCATGGTATTTGMACATCCCTTTGTAATCCTAGGAAGACCAGATGTGTGGAGAAGGGACAAAAGCCTTTATAAATTAGGCTCCATATCAGGAAGAAAGACTTTGCCTGCCCTGTGGTTACTGCAGTTCATGCAGGTATCTCTCAACTATTTTTCATCTAATTGTTTCAAAAAATGCATTGTATCATAAGCTGGTGACAACAAAGCAAAGCTCTGCACAACTGATGCTGCAACTGTCTACCAACCTCTGGCAAGCAAACAGCTTCCACACTAGAAATGACTACAAAGACAGATGCATCCTCAACAAGAGCATTCAGAGACAAAGACAGCAGCATCAGTTTCTTGTATACTTGTTGAACCTCTTCCATGAACCATCAAGAGACTGTTAACTTTCTACCTTCTTCTACTTTCTCTACACAGAGCAGGAAAACAAAGGCARGAGTTTTTCACCCTGAAAATCATGATCCTTAGATCTCAGAGAACATAGGTAAMACAGTTCTTTTGTCACTTCTGATGGACCTTACTATGGCCAAACTAACCAATCTTCACCTTCCATGGTGAGTAACCTGATTAGGCACAAATTTAACACAGCCTCAAGCACATGAACACATTTATGAAAACCTCAAGAAGGATGGGCCAATGAATTCCTAAGGCAACAAGCCAAAATGAGCCCAAGATTWTAACGACAGGTAGTGTAAGAAAACYAGAAACCCAAAAAGTCAGCAGTGCTCCTTTGCTTTCTCAGCTTCTCTTCTCTGTTAAGATAAAACCCAAAAGCTGACCTGCTAAGATAAAACCCAAAAGCCTTAGCCTAGACAAGACCCCCCAATAACAACAAAAAAACACTACTTGATGAATATATCATATGTACATATACTTCCAATTTCTACTTCCCTAATATATTTTAGTCTTCAGAAAGATTGGTGTTGCTTCTGAATCAGAAAATGCTGAAGAAAGGTTTGAACTTCCCTGTCTCCTGCAAAGCCAACATGGATGTTTCTACCTTAACCTGAAAGCAGTGAAGATAGTGAACCAAAAGTAACCACGCCTTTCCATCCTAAAAAAACCAATGCTGAACGGAGTTCAACCAAGTTCCCTTCAATAACCATAACTCATACAAATACAGAGATGCTCAGAAAACACTAAATCTCAACTACAGATATTTTAGAAAGGGGTAGAACAGGTACTTCCATATCTTTGCTCTAGAACAGAAATACATAGAGAGCAAGCAACATTAGCTGCTCTAATTCATGCAAAAGAGCATGGATGGCTGATTATAAATTTGTGGGCAAATGGCTAGATRCAGCTTTGTCTGAAAAATATGTCCTCAATGCAGATTACAAGAATTAACTATTTTCAGATTCTAACATTGTCTAAAATTTGATTGCCTCTGCTGGCAAAAAAGACATTTAAGTGTATTCCTAAGATTTTACTTTTCAATTTAGAAGTTAGGAYCCACTCCTACATGCACACATTCTGACTTTTTGGAATCCAGGCAGGTTATAACGGGACTACTTGCCAATCAGGTTACTCAGAAGTGCTCAGAAACCTGTAAACCATTACAGCAGAAGTTGTGCTCTTGTCTATAAAGCTTAGTGTCAGATCATAAATACTGAGCAACAGGAATACCTACCCATCTACAAGCCCCTGTTGCTTAATAATCCTGTGAGATTCTTCTCTAGAGATTCTGCCGTGAAACCAGTGCTGTGTCCTATGAATAACTGGAGGACAGAGAAAAAAGAGGGAGAGGATGGTTAAAACCAGTTACACATGCAGTCATTTTTTCCACATATTAATTATTTAAACATTTTAAAAGTGGGTGTAGTTCTCTTACACAATATAAAGTATCTTCCATCACCCTATGTAAAAAAGAATATCAAATAATGCATCTACTTAATATATGAAGTAGAGAGGCATTTATCTCCATATATTTTCTGATTTGCASATACACAATTAGGCAAACAAGAGAAGTCTCTTATAATACTGCCTTCTCATAGCTTCTTGAAAATGCTGGGACTAACAATTCTTAGAAAACGATGTGTAAACTAACAAGTCTCTCTAACGCGCACATAAAGGAAAGCACTTTAAAGGGTGTTTTCAAGAGTCAAGTTACCCCCAAATATTTTTATCTTTATTGTTTTGTTTTTCAAAGGATATTTCAAAGGATATTTCAAAGGATATTAATATGAAATTTCCTGTTGTTTTAATAAACTTAAAATGTCAAAGAGATGTTCAGAACTTGCATATTTTACATTTTTCAGTGATTATGGAATGAATTCCATTTTGAAAACTCTCATTTCTACTCTTTAAAGATTAAAAGATCACTCATTGACTTTTCTTGTCCACAACAGCAAATTAACTGCTGGATTCTTTTAAATGGAAAACATTTATGGAGTGTCTATTTTTACAAAATCCATCTTTCTAAAGACTAGTCCTAAAGAAAAGCTTGAGCGGGCCATCAAAGGAAAACAAATTCCTTCTACTGTGTCCRTATGGGTAAGCATGTTAATGACACAGCAGCCACTGATAAACGTAAAGTTTGTATTTGACATCAAGACATTTGTGCTACATGGCTGCACTCTGTCTATATGAAATGTACCTTMCTTTACCCACAGAGGCTTCTCACACTATGCTTACAAACCATCAGAATTTACCTGTACTCAGTGTGGAAGGATGGAGTGGACTTTGGCTACCCAAGATGTTCATTCTTGTGCTACGTTTCTATAGAGAAAATGAATTACCGTTAAATCCACACTCATGCCTCAGGAGAAGAGAATTAGTGCACATGCAATACAGATTTAATTTATGGGGAACTGGGGGCTGGGCAGATTTAATGCAAGGATGGGAAAAAGAAATGCAACCTTGAAGGGGGCTAATCTACAAGCAGCAGCTCATTTCAGTTGGCTTAAAATACAAGYCAGATGTTAATGATGAAAGCTCAGTATCTTAAAAAAAAAAAAAAAGGGAAAAAAAAGACAGAAAAAAAGAAAAGTCTGATATGTTTCTGCTCAGGCAAAACACCAGGCACTCAGTAAATCAAGCAGTATTTCCCTCCCGTACATAAAGCACCAGCTAATGCTTCAGTAATGACTCCTTTTCCCTAAAAGACGAGCATGTGGGAAAACTTGTACTGCAGCTGTCTGTCCACAAGACACTATAAACAAGTTACATCAGTTTTCATTGCAAGAGGTCCTGCCTCTTGTATATTCTGCAATTAAACTTACTGGGAGCAAGCCATTAGTCAGAGCCCCAGCCTCTTCCATGTGGGGAAGCATTTAATTTGACATATTCCTCCTCAGAGACTGGTTTTGCAAACTGGCAGTAAAGTTCTGGTGGGTCTGCTTTSCCCCTCAACTTTCCTCTGGACACTAGGGGGACAGAGAAGCAGTGGTAGAAGGTTGTTGTGAATGTGACAGTTTTGCTAAAGATGGATATTGACTTTCAGATCTGCATGCTTGCAGTGTGATTGCTTCAGGTCGGAGCTAAGCTATACTGTGACCAGCACTGCACTAAAATCATAGCACACTCTGTGTTTTGGCTCTCAACAGACACTTACTGATGGCAAAAATAGAAAAGAAGAGAAGATAGCTACCCTCCAAGCATGTCCTTCTTCCAAGGCAGCACTCTGTGCTTCAGCAGGATTTTCAATAACTCTTCCTATTTGCCCCGAAAAATCCATTGCTACTAGTGAGTTTTCAGATACACTTCTCTGAAAAGGAATTTTCACTTGTTTCAAAAAACAGGGAAAGAAAAAACCAGCTTGAGAGTTTAATTTCAAACTGTTTTGGTTTCAGAAGACCGTCCAAAGTCCTCCTTCAACAGCACAGAAAATACAACTCATTTTTTCTMCCCTTTCAAAAGATTCACAGACACAAAAATAGATGTTTTTTTCTTTTTCGACCATAGGGGAAGGAGACGATTCAAAGGCTCAGAATAAAATCTGTTTGCTCAAGTTGCCCACTTGCCCTGTTACTATATTCCAGTCATTTTCAGGGCCAGTTGGGATCCAAATATAGGAACTTCCCTTTTAGGTAGTTAGCAGTCAGCTCTTGGCCCAACATATTTTAGGAAATTTACGTGTTAGTTTTGCCAGACCTAAGCTGGCTTCTGCAGAGACAGCCAGATGTCTCTGTACCGTACATCTCAAAGAGCATGACGTAGCCAAGATTTTTCAATCATGTGGATCATGTAAGCCTAAAATAATGGAGAGCCAACCACAGAAACTGCACTCATGCAAAACATGAACTTTACATTGATTTGCTACACAATGCTGAATTTACATTTCTTAGCGTAAAATTTTCCACTTTTAAAATGCAAAAGCAAACGTATCTTTTCCGACATCATATATSAGTGAGGTAAAGTTCATTACTTACTACTGGAGTGGAAAAGTGTGGAAGCATGGCTTTTCGCTGCTGGGGAATTCTATAATTCTGATACAGTAGCATTCCATACTGCCAACAGAAATGCAAAGACATTATTATTCAAATATATGCCCTAGGAAAAAAATTGTAGCGATTTCAYAATACCACTTACTCTGGAGCAAGATGCCACCAGTTTATTATTTTCCTGATCAGAAGCTGTCCCAAAGCTATTTGCATTGAGTAACCGTGATTGGCAGGTGGCAAACAGTAAATATGCACAAGTTTTATTTTAAAAATACAAGCTTGAATGATATACACAGGTAATTTCTGCCACTCTCAGCTACTACCATGTTTTCCTTGTACAACACAGGCTTTCAGTCAAGGTCAGAAGACACATATTAATTTCCTTCTTTTTACCCTCTAGAACTTTAAAAAATTCAGTACAGAACATTGAAACTCAGTTTTTATAATGATAAAAAATAAGAACTTTTCTAATTCACTAGCACTTTCAATAAATTTCACCAGGAAATAGCACTTGGTACTTTTCTCATCCTTATAAAAATAAGGTGATTGAATTCCAGTCATGCTCTTGGTTGAACATGATAAATTTTAGCAACACTAGTAGCTAGGATGGTAGGAAAACACCTACTCAGTGCCTTCCCTAGAGGCACAGTGTTGAAGTATAGCAACATTGCTTGCTGAATGTTCTAACTGAAATGGTTTATACAATTTCCGAACAGGGTGATGTAGGACTATGGAAAGCTAAATGAGACAGTGAATAAAAAGGCAGGTTATGGACACAGCCTTGGGGCACAGCCTTACTTTTTGCTGACTGTACACCTTTAATCATATTTTGGTGTGTCTTAAAAACAAACTCATTTTTTTCCTTATGAAGGTTCAGAGAAGAATACTGCAGTTTTCAAGGCARCAAATTCAGAAATAGAACCAAACCAGAATTCATGCACATTTTCCTATGAAGATCAGGGAGCTCTCTGCTTCAAAGGGCACAAAATAGTCWGCTCTCCCTCCATCCTGGTTTTGTTTCTAAAAGCAGTGAAGCCTCCTATCATATTATCAAGAAATTTCRTTGTTTGCTCTCAGGCACGAGTAACTTTCACCCAGACATAGGGCTACTCATTTGTGTTACTTCTTCTAATAGAAATTTTTTTTGAGAAATGAAAGAAAAAAATTGCAAGMAGCACTCTGTTCTGGTTAAGAGAACCACATCCATTATCAAAATATTTTCTTTAGCTTTATGATAACTTGACAATACTGTGTTAAGCAGGTTTTTAAATTCATTAATGTATCTCAAATTTGGAACCAAAACTAAAATAATAATACTTGACTCATATGTGGAAGGAATAGATCTCTGTCCTGTGCYTAAATTCTTAGGTGGGACAGAACTGCTTGGCATTTTACACTTATTCGTATTGTTTAGGAACAGATGATATTTAAGAACACGTAAGTAATTTCTCATGAAAAAAATACCAAATGACACTTAACTCTAGGTGTAGCTTTTAACAAGTAGAAGAGATCAGATACCTTGAGGAGTCGAAAGGCAGTCATCCAGCACATCCTGCTTTGCTCATCTTCAGCACACAACAACCGCAGTTCCTTAGTTTCATTTCTCACTCTGTTGGGCTTTAAAGTATTAAAAGGAAGTCAGCTACATTCATTAGAAAACCAACAACACTGTAAGCTTACTGCAGGGTAAAGGCAGGTACAGCATTAGTCTAAAGAACTAGCCAGAAAAAGCTMCCACCACACTGAGTTAAAGCTCAGGAGAGGCTGAGCATGTTCTGAAAGAAATCACTGTCTCAGCTGGGCCCAACAAGAYAAATGTTGGTGCCTCCTGACTTTCAGAAGCTGGGCTCGATGATCCTWGTAAGTCCTCTCCAACTSAGCATATTCTATGATTCTATGATTTGAAATAACCTGTAGTCTTAGCAGTTTATAGGAACAAGGTATTCAGGCCATGTTAAAAACCGGACCCAGGCACTTAGTTTTGTTTGTTTTGGTAGTTGTAGGGGTGTTTTTTTCCCAAATCTGTGAGAAGTTTTATAAACCCCCATTTCGAGATGAAGGACGTAAGTTTCTGTAACTGAGGGTAGCTGRAAGTTTGCTTCCATCAGTTCAGGATCTGTCCTGCAGCCAGCCTCTTTGATGCAAACCCTTGTTACCTAGCTCTGGAACACCTGCTAGAATGGAGCCTATGTCACTGCTTTCCTAAAATCAGCTCCTAGCTTTATTTTCTTCTCAGAAAATTACACTTTTCAAAGCTTTGAAATAATTTCCAAATGAATCTTTCAGCACAACAGTTTTAAAAATCTTCAAGGGCAACTGGYTATTCTTATATTCAATTTTCCCATAAAGTCTTTCTCTTTATAAATAAAGGCAAACGTCTGGCCCACAATAATGGTAAAACACCACATCAGAGCTTGAYTCTTTGCTGCTATATAGTTTTGCTGCTTGCTGTCCACAGAAACTTTTCTATTCAATTAGACAACTCAGGAAAAGCTTTCATCTGTGAGGTGAACCAAGGCCACCTCACAAGCACACCATGCTTCGGCACCGAGCTGCTCTTGCACAAAAATTTCCCAAACCAAAGGAGCACCAGATAAAGTGTTAAAAGTGTCACATAAAATGATGACAAGATTCACAGGACATGCCTGCCAAATGAAAGATGTTAAAGATCAAGTCCTCGTGACAGAAAAGGCTTGCAGAAATCCCATTTAGCTGGGGGTGGGGGTGACTCGGAGCTACCAACACCGTCTGGAACTTTGGAAGAACTCAGTAAGAACATTTACCTTTATACAAAATCCATACTCTGCAGGGGCATTGTACAACTTCTTGCCTGCTATCAACGAGAAGATATTGCTGTCTTCTAGGTCAGCCAACAATTGCAAATGTCTTGGCTCCTGGGGAAATAAMGTGTTTTAGCACAGGTAAGTGAAAGGTTTTGGAAGATGTTGTGCAAGCTCTGCAGTCTCTCAAGCCCAGCCTCCAACAGAGGGCAGTGCATGAACACTGCTCCTCTCCCAGGCAGCCTCGAGTGGACACGGCAAACACCCCTTAAATATCAGCACAAGGTGCTCRGTACAGGAAGCTCACAAAATACTTMTGCAAGCACATCACATTAAAAATGGCCTGGACTATTACATTGCTCCAGAGAAATCTGAAGCTTAGCACAACTTCAGTGGCCACAATGATGTTGCCTGGCTGGTTTGTTTTTATTTTATTTTATAATGAAACTGGTACGGCTGTGTTCATGCATTGAGAGCCCAGGGATTGACTGTCATTTGATCATGCCTTACTTATCCTGTTCTGTGGAATAAAAAAAGGAAGCACTACGTGGAGATTTTTTAAAAAACAACAAAAATACCCACTGTAAAAGCAGAAAATGCTTTCACATGCTAGTACTGTGCAACTTTTTTTTTTAATCTTACCTTTGAAGTTCCTTTTGTAGAACAATAAAGTCCTGATCTCCTCAAACACATRAACAGTTTCTTCCATGATTTCCTACCCAGCTCTTTCACATGCAAGAAACCTTGAATTTCAGGGCAGCTACTGGAGTTTAAAAAGTTCTGTTGGAGAGGAAAATGTAGATAAACATTGTATCCTATGGATGATMTATAAAATTGTCACTGTATTTGCAGAACAGAGAAAAAAAGGGAAAACCACTTTGCTGATTTGAGGCACAGTTCCACACTAGGCTTAAACTGACCTAGATGCTTAGTCTGATTTATGATCAAAATGGATATTCCTGCTCCTCCCAYTGCATCTACCTGGCCACCTCCTCCTGCCACTGACACCTTCCTATTCTCTGYCTCAAGACTTAAATCTCAAAAAAGCTGTATCCCCATTCGTCTTGCACTTGGCCTCAGGGAGAGAAAGTTAGCTTATTAATGCTTAGAATAGTATCTTGTCACAGCAATTCTGGCACATTGTCTCACTTGGAAATATTGGGCAAAATCTCCATCTTTATCCTAAAGTTTTCGAAAGGAAAGACCCTATTTCAGGATTTCAAGTTGTCCCCAGACAAGAGGTATAACAGACAACACAATATTTAACTGAAAATGAAATGTAGAGCAGTCTAGTAACTGCCAGCAATTATACCAGACTCCAAGATTCAGAAGAATTTAAGTTCTTGTCACACGAAGAGGAACCACAGAGAGAATAATTTGATTTGCGATATATCACAGGAAGGAGGCATTAATTATGGTAGGAGAACTGATGGATTGCTCCCTTATTACAACAGGCCAGATTTTTAAATTACAGAGGCCTTGATCAGTTAAAAGTTAAATGCCAAATTAAATTCAACAAGTATGAAGAAAAATGGATAAACCTGGTTGGCCTAGATGCCTCTGCAATTCTTCAGCCATGTGTTTTGGTTTTATTTGGTGGACAATGCCCACAGGAAACAAACCAAAAATAGTGCCCCGTATCAGAATTCTTACTCGCTTTAAACACAATTTTTTTCCAGTCTTCCTTCTGCTCTCATCTAACAGAATAGGAAAGAACAATCAATTTTCCTGCTATTTTTACTATGAATCCACTTCTCAGCTGTGAAAGGGAAGACCAAAAGAAGACTAGATTCTTTCTGTCCAGTCAGCTCAAACAAAAGTAAACTAAGATTGCAAGCTTTTTTGCATGTCTAAGCCAGGCTAAGACTAGGGATAACAGATCCCACTGGTTTTAATGCTATTGTCATGACTACAAATWCTAGCTCTCAATGCAGAATATGATATAATGAAATGATACTTAATATTCTTCCCTGTTACAGGTGTAATTAAAACTAGCAGAATTTCTTAGTGTTTAACGTGGCCTCGCATGCAACATGCTAAATGACTACTAGGCTGCAGGTTTACCTTCAATAAATTACAACTGCCATTGAAATTCTGAAAAACAGTTGTACCTTTTTTAAAAGAAAAGCAATATTTAATATAAATACTTTAACAAAGACAGTTTTTTTAATGGTGAAACAATGAACTGGAGAGAATATACTCACTGTCTTTCCCCCACCCTCTTGTATCGTTAACCCCCTTAAGTTATGCTTCTCCAGGACCTTTCTGAACCTACCTAACAAGGTTGCATGGTTTCTCTTCTGCTACTACTATTTAAGTTGCTCTCAAAACTTTTCCAATTTCAAGAACATCTTGCTCTTTTGGGGAATCCTGCTGCTTGTATTAACAGGAACCTCAATTCTCCACTAAACTACAGGGAAAAGGGTCCAAGGTGTGAAGACCTCTCTTTCGACCAGTCTGTGGCAATGCCAGTCCATGCCAGTTTTGGTCCCTGATTACAACCTCATTGCACATGATTTTCATTTGTTATTCCAGAAATTGGCTTGATTTTTTTCTTGTTTCCCAGCTGAAAGTGGATGCTAATGTTTTAAATTCTTTTCAGTGACTGTGGAACCAGAATTTAACGGACTTCGATATGGCTATGCGACAAAAGGAATGCACTCATTCAAAAGACAGTGGAAACTTGTCTTTAAACAAAAAGTCAGTGCATATTTGCAAGCATRCAAAATGACAGAAACCGAGCTAAAATCAGTTATTTGTACATATATATATTCTTCATATATTTGTGCTTCTGCTTTATAATTTGTTTGTTATTCATGGCACTGTCTTCCAGGCACCATGACCTTTGTTCTTAATGCAGTATTCTTTTAATAAACTGCGTTTTAATTTGCCTTCAGAGCTGAATGTCCACAATTTGAACAAAAAAGTGAAATGAAGAAGACTTAGACTGTGGGGCTTAGACTGGAATGCTAAAATGGAGAGATTAGAGTGAATCAGTTGCTGATGAGAGAGGCAGCCCACCCTTCAGCACCATCCTTGAAGGCCAACCAACTGTGCCAACACCAAGGCTCCATTATGAGCAAGCCAGAAACTCTACAGTGACACCAAAACTTCAACGTAACTGCAGCGCACATGCCACACCCACACAGACTGCACAACTCTACCAACACATATGAAAAGGAACACACCCCTGCAATTAAACCTAGGGAGCTTTAAATGGGATTACTTTGCATATACTGTATACAAATTTCTACTTGCACTAACTTCTTAGGGCATTATTTCTCTATCCTTAAGAGTAACTAGTTGSCTGAACCACGAGAAAGTTGGTCCTTATTGTTAATTCTTGCCAGACACAAACATAGGACACAAAAAGCAAAAGCAAAACCTCTCATCATCTCAAACACATCTTCTAATATACACTTGCATTCTAGCACTTTCTCCTGTGCTGTGATGTGGAGTACAGAAAAGTACTTCTATTCTGCTTTTTATAAAACTGTATTTGTTTTGCTAGAAATATATCTGCCAAGACTGTTTGGGAGTAATACCAGGTGGCCAAACCAGATACCCACAAAGTAAGTTGAGTATTAATGGAACAAGTATGTAAGACCATAGCTATGAATACTTTGTGTTTACAATTTACACCTTGATGCCACTGGGTAAAATCTTTGTCAGATATTTTCAACATTAGCCCCATATGCTAACTCACTACACTGGTCTTTGACCAGCTATTTTTCAGACCTTTGAATTCCCTTCCTTCCTTTCTCTCAAGCCCTCCCCCTCAGCTCCAAAACTTTCTTTATCCATACAGAWAATTTACAGTACCTGCAAAAGTTGTGACTGTGGGATACTGCCATTTGTTTGCTGGCACCAGGCAACCATTTGTTCTGGAAAGAAATTCTAGACATAAAAAGAAGACAATTGGAAGTCACATTATTTTTGAACACTCTTGCAGAGAACCAGTGATGTTTCCTTCAAGTCATTAAATTTTTTTCAGCTATCACTACTAAATCAGTTTGGAGATCCCCTGACACAGAAAGTAATACTAGGGCTTTTCAAATGCAGTTCTTCCCTTCCTTCTGCTCACCAGATGCCCATGCAGACAGATTGTGGATTTTTAAAATATCTGATGTGCAGTATTTCGTAAGTGCCTTTTCCCATCACTTCCTCTTCTACTAAGGGCTTTTGGGGATCTCTAACAGCCTCTACTTTCTTGGGAATGAAAGGATGAATGGTCCTGCAAGTTGAGTATGCAGTGACTCCTTGCTTATTGCATCAATGTCTTGACTTCAGATTTATTCCTCCAGTTTCCTTTTCATSTGTTATGTTTTAAAATGCCTGCATAATTTGGTACACTGAATTTACTATACACAGCAATGACATGAGATCATTCTTGAAGTTTTTAAACATTATTTGAAGCATGGAGACATACAGAAATGCCTGAAATGAAACAATGTCTGATTATACCAAAATGAATCACAACAAAAACATTTCCAGTTTAGAATATTTGTCACTCTTCAGGCAATACAAATTTCAGTCTTTAGGGCATAAATAGAAGGGCTGAAGAGGAATCACCCTTCTGCCAGGTAAGTTGCACAATGAATTATGAAAGCTAACATTTTCCAGCCTCCCTTGAGTAGAAACAGTGCCATATGGCAACAGCTAATGCAATGGATAGGGAGCCTTCGCATTCTTACACCAAAAGAATGATTTATTCTGTGATTGCAGGAGCCTGGGACTCAATGCCAAGCATTCTGGGTTTTACTCCCATGCTCTGTTATTAATTAAAATATACCACATGAAACCAATGCGCTAGCTCCTATGATACCAAAACTTCTGTACAACGCTCAGATGTTCGTAAGTTATCAGATGGTGAGATCAACAGAAGTGAAAAACTAGGAACACTCCATGTACAGAAACGTTTCACAGAGTAAGTCAAGGCACAGACTCTGCAACAAGCACCAGCAGATGACAAATGTACATGCAAGCACACGTGTGAGGATGCAGCAACTGTGCACTTGCATCTTTGAGGAGAGGAATTAATTTATCACCCACAGYTCCTTCAGCAGAGTTTAAACGTGACCTTGCCTATCTTTTTTTCTTCTCACACCACAATTGCCTGACTGACACAAAATCTGTTCTTACCTAACCACCTCTGGATTACCCTTCCTCAGTTATCTCCATGGGTTGCACCAGCTGACATTTGTTCATGCCAACAGTCTGCTCCAGCATACTTGTTAGATAAAATGTGAAAAATCATCCCCCATAAGCAGTTATACAGTAATCAGTTTAAAATTACAGTATTGGAAGGTTCTTACAAATCCAGGAATAGGTATAGCTATGGCATACAGTACTTTTCATGCATGGATATACATCGAGACACAGAGAGGGCAAGCTACTGTGATCAGTAAATAAGGCAAAGCACACTAGCGAAGCACAGCCACAGGTGAAACACTGTTCAGTATATGCAACAATAAACTGGAAACTCCCTTATATGGAGTAAATGCTTTAGGGGCTGCTCAAATGGGTTTTGGTGTTTTATTAATTATTACTGTCAGAAATTAAAAGGTTTGGATACTGCATGTTATGYGATCAATTTGCTTTGAATCAAGTAACTTTGAAGATAATGAGTAAATTGCCCTTAAGATTGCTTTTCTTAAACCAATGAAAATTTCCCTRTCTTGGTCACTCTCCAACATAACTACAGACATTTTGAAACAAGTATATTTGGTAACTTGAAGACACTTGCGGTTTTTGAGATGGGAGGAGAGTACAAGGAATTTAAACATTGGTTAAAATTTATTTGGAAAAGAATTCTGTTAGTTGGTTGCATACTTTTTTTTATAATAGATGCTTAAGACACAACAGTGCCCAGCAATGTTATTGCAATCCACCCCCCTGTGGTATAAACAACTAAGTAATGAAACTCACCATGGGATTTTTGAAAAATTCATATTTTGCATAATTCTTCCTGAACAAAAATTTACTTTCACTTCCCATTGTGGACTCAACTTGAACTATGAGCTCATGATCTTCCAAGCATCTCTCTGTGGAAAAAGAACACGACGTTAATACACAGCCAACCAGCAAGAGGAATGAAACCAACTAAGAACAGAAGTAAAACAACACAGTGTAATTCCATTACATTTTAAGAAATTAGCAAAATACATTCTAGATTTCAAACCATACTGCCATGAGGCAATACTTCACTTTGTAATGTATTACAAAGTTTAACATTTTATGGTGGCGTTCTTCAAGGAATTCCTATTTCAGAGCTTCCTAAAGCACAGACTTTAAAAAAAGGAATAGATTTTTTTTGTGTGCAGTAGATACAATAACACAGGCAAACCTCTTTCCTTTTGGCACCAGTTGTGTGCTGTGGAACTGGCAAGGTGGACAGGCTTAAGAGAGAAAAAAGTTACAGAAAGGCCACTGTTAGGTCTTGAACTATCACAGAAATACAGTGTTGTATTTGATCACACTCTATAAAACCAGTTCATTTCAAGGTGAACTTCGGGCCTTTATTGTAGATCCTAGACAATGGGGTTTATTATGAAAGAGGTCACAGGATCTACTTTACAGGAATACTGACAGAGACAAATGTTTTGTACACATGACAGGGCAATTTTCTGCTCTAGATTTGGTTACAAGGTAACTCCCCATAACCAGCACTTCTCTGGTCAAAAGAATGGCACATCAAAGCATGAACAGATAGCTTAGCAAACCCAGTTCACGGAAAGCAGTAACTCGAAAGAAGGCAACTGGCTAAGTGTGCACTACTTAATGAACTCATTATCTTGACAAGTCTTCAGAACTTTCTGAGAAAGTATTTAGGCATTTTTCAAAAGTTTTAACTAGTCAGTGCTTTCATGTCTTGTATAACACAAAATTAAAAAATTAGGTCAAACAGAACATAAATTTTGCAAAGCTTTAAACAAAATGCCTGCGACTTGCTGACCAAAGAAGTCTAGAGAGTCCCTTCCCCACTCTGTGTTCCTGCAACCCTTCACAGTAAGAAATGTCAGGTGCCACCCAAGCTCTCTTGGGGTGTTTTCAGGATAGAAAGCAAGCAGTCATTATCATCTCAAAAAGAGCAAGCTCTTGAATATTGCTTGAATCACTGAACTCAGCAGATTAATGTATGTTCTTTGATTGAAAATTTAACCKATGACTGAATGATCCCATCTTTTTGACCTGCCCTCAGGTTCTCAGTCATCACCAGCTCATTGATGAYTTCAGCATTTACTATGCATTTGCGATATCCAGCCTTGCTATAGATTGTGTTTTCAAAGGGTTTAATGTCGAAAAACTTCCACAGTGGGCTGCTCTCAAATAAAGAACTGCTTCTTAGTGCATCAGGCACGACACCACTTTTAAGGGATAGCTCTTTGATGGGCACAAACATGCTGCTACTGGTCGTTGTTACTAAAGGACATTTTGCACCCCCTCAGCATTTGTCACCTAAACCTACATGTTGTCTAGGGGCTTTGCAGATAAAGTTTCAGGTATTGCTGATCTGTTGCTACTGTCAGTTTTAAGCAACTGGTAAAGTCAAATTTCCTCTGCATTGTGATGAGGACTGTGGGTCTATGAGGATAAAGGGYCTATTTTTTAAATTATGCTTCCTCCAAAAAATATATAATAACATTAGTATGAAGCTTCATCATAGTATGAASCCTGAAAGACCACATGTCCTGTTACTGCCTGCTTCTGCCACCACTCAAAGTTGTGGTCTTTGCCTTCCTAACACACTGAAAACTGCTTGTCAGGGACAAACTGTTTATTCTGTTCTGAGGAAATGAAGTATAGATGAACATTTGTCAATTGGTTTTGTATTTCAATGTTTAGTTTGTGTAAATATACCCAGAGGCTGTTTCTCAGATCTTTAGGCAACTGACCTAGATGTATTCTGTTATTAAATCAAGACCATTTCGAGATTCTGTGGTGATACTCCCACTGATTTAATATTTACATTTTCATTTTGATGGTCAAAGCCATCTTAGAGGAAAGGTGCTGCATTTCATAGCAAGTGCATGTAAAAACAGGAAGGTAGTCCTGGTCAGTTTGCTTCACGGAAATGGTACACTTGGGAAGCCCTTGGTAATTTGCACTCGGTTTGTACAAACGGGATGAACTTGACACACTGGCAACTCAGCCTCAACCCTGCTTTGAGCTTCCTGCTGCAAAACCMGAAGCACAGATGTCAGCCTGTTGAGTTCAGTTCAATAGGTCAGTCTGTCTTCAAGTGGCATTGCTGTTGAAGTGACCAGAAGCTTGTCCTTTCAGTTTATCTGATAGGCTCCTCTACACGCTTCCTGGAACAGACTTTCCTCCCACCCCACCCAAGTTGCTCTGTATTATTATCAGAACTTCTACTGACCTATAGCAGTGAYAAAAATGGGAAAAGGAGCTTGATTCCATAATGAACAACTCACAGGCATGGCCCAAAATTCTCAATTAGAGAATCACTACAAATGACAAGTGGACCCCTGTATGAAATAGCCCACCCTGGTTTTGCACTTTAGCAAGCACTGTGTTTCACTGTTCCACATTTAATTAATTAATATTAAGGGAAATCAGTGCAAGTAAAAGAGAAAATCTAYGTACAAAACTGCAGCAATGCTTTCTTCTAATCCTCACATATTTCAGAGCCCTACTATATTCTTATCTGCTTCAACTGTGTTAAGTAAGATGTACAGTCAATTCTGGAGCTGGAAAAATTAAGTTTGTAGCAAGGGATTCTACTCTTTCAGTGTCCAGACACATACTATCATGTGAATGTCTTCACCATTATTTTTTCTGCTCATGTCCAATATAGAGATCTCTGTCCCCATTCTAAATTTATGATAGTTAAGCATGGAGTAGAACATAGGGCGAATATCCCATTTTATGAACAGATTAGGTATACTTATAGTAGCAAATGAAACAATGGGACCAATCCAAGTTTCATAGACTGCTTTAATCTTGACCACAACATGCTTTAGACATTAGTGGTACAYTGCAGCAGGAACTACTTTCAAATGGCAAATTGAGAAAATTGTCACACCACTGCTTCCAGTGAGAACACAAATATTTAGTGCAGTCCAATAGCTGCTAAAAGTTACGTGCAAGCACGCACAGTACTTGGAATATACTTGGCTATGCATGCAAAGTAAACTGTCAGGTGAGGGTTCCTTACAAAGTGGGACCTAGAAGATAATGCGATGATAAATACATAGCTGGCTTCAAAAACTGCATCTTGTCCTCAGTCTGCCCAATCGTAAAACAAACCAGTTGGTTCTGCAAACAGAGCTCTTTTGGAAAGTACTATCAGGCAAAATCAGGGAGGAGAAAATGAAGATAGTGAACTAAATGAAGGAACTCCTCTCTTTTGGTGGGCTTCACGACTACCGCCTACAGCATTAAGTCAGCAAGGATGCATTGTCTAGGAAATAATGTCTTCTGAAAACACAGAATTCTGAGGGCTCTTAAACCATTATTTCTTCTCACACTAAGTATTTATTGACCATTGTTTCATACTTAAGACTACCAATCTTGTATCTAGAGGAACAAATATGGAACATCAGACACCTGATGATAGCTTCACCCAGGCTGCAGAAAAGATTACTGCCTTGATCTGACAATCTCCGAAATATAGAAGAGCATTTAGGCTACAGAGAAGCTAGAAATAAGCAGCCAAATAATAAAAAAATCAAACTGAAAACAAAACTGGTGGAAGCATGGGATTTAAAGTTTATTGGCTATGTTRTAGTACATACTTTGGACTCCAAATTTAAGAAACTGGATAATGATGCCTCCTGTTAAATGAACTCAATTATTCCCTGTTCTGTCCTCATCCATTCAACTATGGGAAATCTGTATAATTACATTTTATTAGATAATTTAAACATTTTTTCCTTTGTCTCTTGGCCTTACACCCCCGAAGGTTGCCTTACTTCTCCACTGTGTGGCCTACAGGGGACAGCCCTGGAGCAGTCCATGCGGAACAAAGTTTGGTGRCTGCTGAAGCCCCAACCTGCACACCCTGCTTCTCTGGGGGCCCACTTTGTGCTTCAGTGTGAAACAGAGGTCCAAGGCAGGCAGGTCCCTATGTATATAAATGCAGCCTGATAAGTATCTTGCTCTTTTCCCATCATTGTTAATTACCAAGTTATTTGTGTGTAAACAGAAGCTTTTGATTTCCTAATCAGCCTCCTGCCCGATTCATTCAGAGATGTCACACACCAGAGTTTGACAGCACAATTAGTCACCATGGAAGCTATTGTGATGTCACAAACACCGAATTGTGGCATCATTGAATGAATCTGGCAGGAGAAGGATGTTGGTTACAAAGGAGAAGGCTTCTGTTTACACAATACCTTGGTAATCAGCAATGATGGGAAAGAGAATATAGAAAAAGAGAGCCTGGTAGTTTAATGAGCATTGATAAAACTGAAAATTTGTGAAGGTTTTTAGCAGCGCATGTGGCATATTAAGCTACGGAGATAAAGGTTCTGTAATTTACACCTTAATTCTTCACCTCATCTATGTCCTCAGAACTGAAAGTATATCAGAGACATAGACCAGTGTGCGTTTCATTTTAATTTTTTCACGCATTTCTACATTAGGAGAGATAGCAAAATTATAAATAATCAGGATATCCTATGTGTTTGGGGTTTTTTTTAAGTGTTAGGCTGCAGAGCAGTGAATTTATTAGCGTTTACAGTATTGGTTTAGGGTATCACATTTCCAGCAAATCATCTCCTTTTTTTATTCGTAAGGGTTCTGAATTACATTTTTAGACATAAAACCCCCACTGTTAGCTACAGATAGCATTCACAATTCCAGTGCTGGCGATTGCAGCTTATGATTTGTCTTCCTCTGCTTTCTGGAAAAAACATTCCCCTTGAAGTATATCGACTAATACTCCAAATGCTACACTTTCTAAAGCATTATTGTATGCTACAGAGAATTGTAGATAGCATTATCTGAGCAATACGCTGTCGCAAGCTGCACAGCAGAACCCTGCAACTAATCAGTGCCACAAAATAACAGGAAAAGCAAGACTGAATAACATGAGATCCTTTCAGGTACTGTAATTAAACCAATTCATGGTGTTATTTAATTCCCCACGGTTCTTCCTCTTGCTGCCTTCTTGAAACTGTAACCATGACACCTTAATTTCAATCAGGTGGAAAGAGCTGCTGCCTGGAGAGCAGATACCACCGCTGGTCCAGAAATTGCCAATGGATTTGCGGGTGGTGCCACCATTTTTTCCCTGCCTGAAGTCAAGTTTAGCCAACCCCCTCCCCCACCTCAGCATGTCTAGCTTTCATAAGCATTACTGTAGGTATGTAAGGCTGAGTCTGTTCACCCAGGTCTCCCAGCTGGTGATGAGCCGAGCTGTTTCACAGGACCGTACTCTAAGGATCAAGCTTCATTTGCCTAAGCTGTTTATTTGCAATAGCTTCAGACACAGCAAGGTAGCAAGAGAGCGCTAGCATGAAGATTAGACAATTCTTCTTTTTATAATAAAAAAACCCAGAGGATGGAAAATAAGGGAAGGACTTTAAATGGCTTAAACGCTTAACACATCAAATTGTAATACACAGAAAGCACGTATGTGACTTCAGCTAATTGTACAAATAAAAGCACTGGAAAAGAAAATGTTCCGCCTAGAAGCACATTTATATGAATTACACATATTTTATGTTCCCAGGTAACCATGCCACCCCTTTGACCGTTCCCTACCTAATCCTAGGTGAGGGTGATGCTCCACTAGAGTCCAGCTGTTATCATCCACACAATGACTTTTGTAAACGAGCAGCTGACAGAGGTCCCTGGCTGTCATGTCTGCTAGAATCTCGACCACTTTGCTTGTTCCATCTTCACTAAAGACTTTTACATCCTGCAACATAAAGGGTACACTTACAGATCAACAGCTCTGAACATAGGCAAACCACACAGCTACTGTAGAAAAGCATCATCCTCTTGGTGTGAGGGTTCCAAGCACCTTGGCAGCCAGGACAAATGAAATGGATGATTCACTTTATAACACTTTCTCTCAATGCCCCCTCGACCTATTTTCCCTCCCCCTCCCCAACACCTCCCTGCACTGAACAAAGATTCAGCAGGATTAATATGACCACGTACACAGGAAAAGTGAGAGAGCAGGTTCTGTATAAAGCTGTGTAAGGTAAGCAAACGTGAAACAATGTCGAGAGAGTACTTCGAGCAACAGTGGGCGAGAGAAATCACATCCAGTCAAACACACACAATTTTTGTTGCGATCCCATCGGAGGCCTCTGAACATTCACAGAGGARCAGGCCAAGACCCCGAAGATAAAAAAATGGCTCTCTTGTTCCCCACCAACTTTTGATTGTTTCATGTGGGGAAGTCTCACTTGCAGTTTGCCGGCAAATCAATTACCTAGCACGGTCCACACATTTCTCTCCCTGCCCTGCCTTCTCTTTTGATCCTAGCTTGAAAGTAGTTCGAAACCAAATGTGCATATGCTGCACATCCTACATATCAATGGGGATGAGAGAACAAGTCAGGAACCTTCTCCCCATCTCCTGAATTATACAGATGCTTTCCTCTTTGCATTGTTCTGCTCAAGCGAGAGACGCTGCAAAATTATTTCTCCGGGCGAATGTGCAGGTCCCAGATTTAAATCAACTCCGCGTTTCAAACTCTCCGCATCCGAGCGAGAGAAGGAGAGTCTAACAAAAACCTGGAGGGTAATTCGATATGGAAAATCTTACCTCAACGGCACGTAAAAGGCAGCAGTCGGAAGAACAAGATGGCATTTTAAATGGGGATTGCCTCTTGAGAGTTAGTTCTCTGCCTCCGCCGACCCTCTGCAGCCTGCGGCTGGGCGCCCGGGGTGCCGGCGGCGTCAGGGGCGGCCGTACCCTACCTGTCACGTAGCCCCTGCTATGGGGACTGTTTCTGGGGAGGGAAACAACTCTGCCAGAGCTCCACTCAAAGGGTTACACGCAATCTTTGCGGTAGTGAATCAAACCACACTGTGCAGACCAATCCTAGCCCTCCCTCCGACTGATGTAATCATTTCCCACACACTATCAGACTTCCAAATTATTCCCGCCTCCCTCAGCGCCCCCCCTCCCCTCCCCAGAAAAAAAGAAATTACAAAGGAAACGTGTTTTTTTATGACGACCTTAGGGCGGCCGAGCCCCCTGGGGCGGCCGCGGGGCGGGGTGCGGGGAGCCCGGCACGCGTGTGCTGCTGCCCCGGCGCCGGTGCCGAGCCCGCCCGCAGCCCGGCCTGCCCGCGCTGATGTCATCGCCTGCAACTTGGGCACTTGAACTTCTCCGCCGCCGCTCCCCGCCCGGCCCGACCCGCTCCCGGCTCTGCTCCCGGCTCCGGCTGCGCTCCGGACCGCGGCGGGGCCACCGGGCCGGGGGCGAGCGAGCACGGCCGGCGCCGCCCCCGCCCCCCCGCTGCTCCCCGGTGCCCCGGCTAAGCRCAAATTCGAGCCCAGAGAGGGAGGAGTTAAAGCCTCATCCAGCCCAAGTGACTCAAACCCGCGCGTTCAGGAAACGGCTTCATCTGACAGCAGGGATGAGCCAGCTCTTTCAGAAGTGGGCTCTGGAGAGGAGAGGAGAGGAGAGGAGAGGAGAGGAGAGGAGAGGAGAGGAGAGGAGGGGGAATCCCGGTTGCTCTGGGGAAGGCATGCGTGCTGTGCAATGTTACGGCTGCGCTCCTGCCAACGCTCGGCCAAGCCAGAAGCATCCTCGAACACGCAGGAATTTGTCGGGCGTGGGGGTGCCTCCGTTTTTTGTCCTGCGGGCAAGTCTCTGTTGTGTCACTGGCCCCGTGTCGCATCAGAGTCCCGCATGACACCCGCAGCGGTCCCGGTCYGCTCCGCCGCTCGGCAGCGCGCCCGTGGGACGGGGAGACACGAGTGGATGGATCCCGAGACACSCCGCAGGCATCGCACTGCAGTGTCCGAGCGGGGAGCGCAGCTCTCGTGTCMCCTCCCACGGCGGGCAAGCACACCGAAAAGCCAGTGTGCAACAAGACAGAAAGTAGCTATTTTGTTTGTTTTAGTGGGGAATGGGAGGGACTAACACCCACTTGATTTTTTTTTTTCTTTTACTTTTTATAATACTGCCATAGATTGGAAAGGAGTGACACGACTGAAAAGTTGGTGATGAAAGAATTCCTTTTTACTTTCAGCTTACTCTGCGCACGTAACCGCACTTTCTGCATTGAAACTAAACTATTTTGGATGGATTTCCTGCCTCGGGAACCAACCTGGTGACATCATTCATTCATTAGTCACGAGAAGCACAGCCCTGCACTCTCTGCCTCAGCTTTCACAGGGGAGCCCGAATCAGGAACACGCCACAGCAATCGCCACTTTTGCAACACCTGGAGGACAAAGCCCCTTCTTTTCCTGTCCTGCTGGGAACAAGGCAGTGATACAGGACAGGCTGCACCTGATCACTGTCAGTGCCAAGTCCCAGAAGAGAGGCAAAGCTGTTCTGCTGAGGGTGCCTTTCCAGCCCGTGCAGGTGGAAAAGAGCTGTAAGACAACCACCACACTTTTCTCTGCTCCCAAGCATGGAAAGCCTTAATGCCATGAGACCTCTGGAAGAAAGCTGCAGCTGTCTTTTATGCTCATTCATGCTGTGCTCTCTCGCTATGAAGTAAAGGGGTCATGGGTACGTGTCCCGCCCTCCCCCTCCTTGCCCAGAGTTGGAGTTGATGCCGATGCCGGCTCCCTGAAGTACCACAGCACCTCAAACTACTGGATACCCAATGCTGCATTGGGATGTGGGACTATTGRAATGCCATGTTCCAGATAGCCAGATAGCCAGGCCCTGTAGGCAGCACCTGCTATCCCAACACCACAGCCACTATGGGAGCTGGGTTACAAACATGGATATGTTCATTCGGGGGACCTGTCAGCCCTTGGGGTTTTAACAATGCCTTTAAAGCCCAGGGATGGAGGGCAGTGGGTGGGCAGCGTGTACACAGCAATGAGCACTGACTATTAATAGTGCTGGGCTCGCCATCAAGGACAGTGCAAGGCCATGTATCACCACTGACATCACAGATATAAAGCACTGCATCAGGAGGGGATGTCATGRCCTGAGCTGAACCCTGCCCCAGGGGACAGGAGAGAGGCAGAAGTGAGATGAAACCCTGTGCCTCTGCAGAAGCAAGAGTGCAACAGCCCCTAAGAGGCTTACATGGAAGGTAAGGGGATTTTATGYCCCTATACAATGCTGCAGAGTTATGACGTATAACCACAAATACAAAATCAGCTTGACGATAAAGCTTCACCTCCAACTTTCTGACAGTTTCTGTGAGTAAAGATGCAGATAACAGTATTCCTGTATCACAGAGGGGACTGAATTTGAAGTCGATTGGTCAAATCCAGCTCTCACATTTCCTTTTTCTTTCTTCTTTTTTTTTTTTTTTTTTTTTTTTTTTTTTTTTTTTTTTTTTTTTTTTTTTAAAGTACCTCCCACTTTAGGATATTAAGAACTCCCTATTCAAACTTCTTCCAGCAGAAACACTGTTTCACTTGCAAAACTGATTTGGAGCTTATTGTCTACAAAGGAAAATGAAGCAGGATTCATTTGAATAAAATACTCCAATAATGAAAACACTTAGCCTGATGAGAGGTTCAGAAAGTTAGTCTGACACTTTTGCCCTGCATTCCCTTGGAGAAATGCAGTGAAATGCAACAGCAGACTGCCTGCAACAGTGATTTACAAAAGGCCCTAATTACGTCAGCAGCACAAGGCACCTTCTATTCAAAATTAAGGTTAAGAATGCTAAGCCAACCAGAGCACTATATTGGCTGAACATTCAGTGCTTTACAGTGCAAAGGAGCAGATAACAGACTGCACCATTGTTCTGGGAAGAAGTCTTCCCCCAAGCTTTTCTTTTCTTCTTTTTTTTTTCTTTTTTTTTCTTTTTTTCAAAAGACAAAAAGACTTTGAAAATTAAAAATTTAAGATCACATTAATATTCATCGCTTCCGTGGTTTCATATAATGGATTGCATATCTTGAGTATCTTCATGGCTGTTTCATCTTCCAGCCACAGTTCCTCRACCTCACTGCAGTATTTTGTGTGTATCAAGTAATACAAATATTTTAGGAATGTGGAGGAAAAAACCCAACAAAAACCAGAAAACCAAAACAGTCATGTGATGATCACATTATTTCTTCTTCATTTTTCTATCTGCGCTATTTCTTTCCTTTTTCTTCAAGACAAAACCTATGCCTATACACAATGATCACAAAATATCATTTTTTAAAGTGATGTAATGCTGAAAATCCTCAGTGGCAAACGGATCTACATTAACATTCTACAATCTGAAATTAAACAGTGTAATCCATATCAGTGCAAACCAACTTCCGTGATCCTGGGTTATAACGCCAAACATAAGAAGAGGGCACCAGTTATCAGAAAGCCCTCTGACTGAAATCTAATAGACAGAAGGTTTCAGTACACTAGTTCTTCAACAGTTTCCCTTTATAAGAGATGGACTTTAGAGACTTCACAGAAAGCCATTAAAATACACTGAAGAGTCATTACTAAGAGCTGCACAAACTGAAAATCAGTCCAGCAAGTTTTGACTTCCATCCCCCGATTTCACTCACCAAGACTGTTCAGACATGAGAATCATACAATCAGTGAGACAAACAGAAGGAAAATGGAACTGAAACATATGCATGTACCTTGTACAAGCAGCAGAAGCTATTTATTGAAGAAGGCACTTATGTACCAGACAGRTACTTACTGTTTTCATTGGAACCCTGTTTTGATGAGAGCTTTTTTCCAAAAGCTTTCCATAATCAAAGCTTACCAGCTCACAAGAGCAGAGTCAGAGTCACTGGAGGAATGGGGAAGCTTTCAATTAGG